ATTTACTTAAATATCCTAAATCCACATTTTGAATATCCGAACCAGTGCCAACTCTTGTTTCTTGATTTTTGGCTTTGGCATTCATTTTTGTGATTATCTATTATCCTGGCCCAAAGAGACTGATCACATTGTTGGTTTTTGGCATTCTGTGCTCTCAACTCCCTTGAGGTATTCCATAAAGATCTAATGCTCTAAGGTTTAGTAATATGTCTCCATAACTATATTTTTCTTAACTAGCTCTGTACTGTTATATTGGACAATTCTAATTCACAATATAAGCACTTACACATTTTTGTAAGTTATAATATTTCAGTTACTTTTGATTGAAAGAAGGAGGAGGAAGGTGGCTGAAGCTAGTAATGCTGGTGGACAATGATAAATGAAAATGCGATCAGATGCAAGCTTGTAAGGCTTACTCCTTATCCTTAGCGTGCAGAGCATATTTAATTGGAGCGTGCGCCAGGACATTTTTTGTAAGGATCATTTCTACTCTAACTACAATATGTACAAAACATTTATATTCAAATTATCATATTAAATCTTATAATCCACATTTTTTAAAAATGAAACAAAAAAATAACCATAATTTACAAAAATATTTATCTTCACTTTTAACAAGAACTATTTCAAACTAGCACATAAGTAAGTGCAAGTAGGGCCCCAAATGGGGGACAGCATGGACAGTATGGATTTCTGAATTAGGGTTTACCAGGGCCTATGTTCTTCACTGCACAGGTAAGAGCTTGAGCTCTTCTTCTACTACCTCAAAACCCATACTATATACTATAAGTTTGTTTTATTTACATGGATCAATAGAACAATTCCCAAAACAGTATTATATTTTGAGCTCATCTGCAGTTTTTTGAACACTGCAATACAGCTAACTAAAATATATTTTACAATGCATAGATTTTCAGGCCAACCCAAAAATATTGAAACACTGGTGAAGTTTGCGATCTTTTTATCTCCTTACTCTGTAATTTTGGTCATGGTACTGTAGCTAGAATGTTTTCTATATCTAGCACATCAAGGGATGTTTTATGCTAGTTGAGCAACTGAGTATAAGTTCTGCTGTAATTTCAGGAACCTTTTTGTACAGCTAGCTGCTTTTTGTATTTTACCAGACACTGATTATCAGGTCATAAAATATACATTAAAATCTTTTAAACATCTTTTTATTTTGAAGATGCTGTGCTGGCAGAGTAATGAGTGTGAGGTTTTCGGATGCTGACTCAGGAAACTTGCAGCATAGCTCATTAGCATTTATTTTTGCATATTGGGCTTCGAACACAACCTAGCATTGTTATTTGATTAATAACATTTTCAAAATGTGTGCAGGTTTTGTGTGTATGTTATCAATGTGATCACAATCCTAGAATCGCAAACTATTTTCTTGCAATTAATACAGCCAAAGTCAGAAAATGTTATCTGTTAAAAAAAATTAAAAAAATTCTATTCTTATTATTAATGCAATTTCAAGCTTGATAGGGCATCCTTGCCATGTTAACAAACAAAATTGCAATTTTGCTGACGTGATTACATGCCACATTGAAGTTAGCGACAGTAGTAGTCATGATAATAATAATAATAATAATAATAATAATAATAATAATAATTGTGTGGCCTTAAAGGAACACTACACTGCCCAAATACAAAATATATACAAATCATTGTTTAGTTGATATATATATATATATATATATATATATAAAACAAGAGGGGGTTGGCTGCACTCACCTTAACATGCATAAATGGGGGTGCTGCTGGGGGCCAAATAATACAATACACAAGATCCAGCGCACTCACCTATCCACTAAACAGCAACTTCAAAGTTGAAAGATTTTATTTGTTTTTTTTAAAAACACCTAATCTAGGCAAAAATAATGGGGGTTTAGTTACATTATATGATCATACATTGCATAAGCCTGCCACAACGTCAATGTACCCCATCTTTGGCAGGTCCTACACTAACAGCCTAATGTCTGCTCTTATGAGATTAACCTACTTGGGAAAAAAATTCCATCTGGGGCTCTCTGCAGTACAAGGCTAAATAGGGCCCTGGGATGAGGCACCTGTGACAGGGAGGGGTGCAAACCCAAGGAGTTGGCTAGACTCCCAAATATATATAAAACAAGAGGGGGTTGGCTGCACTCACCTTAACATGCATAAATGGGGGGTGCTGCTGGGGGCCAAATAATACAATACACAAGATCCAGCGCACTCACCTATCCACTAAACAGCAACTTCAATGTTGAAAGATTTTATTTGTTTTTTTAAAAACACCTAATCTAGGCAAAAATAATGGGGGTTTAGTTACATTATATGATCATACATTGCATAAGCCTGCCACAACGTCAATGTACCCCATCTTTGGCAGGTCCTACACTAACAGCCTAATGTCTGCTCTTATGAGATTAACCTACTTGGGGAAAAAATTCCATCTGGGGCTCTCTGCAGTACAAGGCTAAATAGGGCCCTGGGATGAGGCACCTGTGACAGGGAGGGGTGCAAAACCAAGGAGTTGGCTAGACTCCCAAATATATATAAAACAAGAGGGGGTTGGCTGCACTCACCTTAACATGCATAAATGGGGGTGCTGCTGGGGGCCAAATAATACAATACACAAGATCCAGCGCACTCACCTATCCACTAAACAGCAACTTCAAAGTTGAAAGATTTTATTTGTTTTTTTTTTTTTTTAAACACCTAATCTAGGCAAAAATAATGGGGGTTTAGTTACATTATATGATCATACATTGCATAAGCCTGCCACAACGTCAATGTACCCCATCTTTGGCAGGTCCTACACTAACAGCCTAATGTCTGCTCTTATGAGATTAACCTACTTGGGGAAAAAATTCCATCTGGGGCTCTCTGCAGTACAAGGCTAAATAGGGCCCTGGGATGAGGCACCTGTGACAGGGAGGGGTGCAAAACCAAGGAGTTGGCTAGACTCCCAAATATATATAAAACAATATATATATATATACACTAAATGAAAACTTGCATTAATCTTTAAAAAGTAGGATATGGGTTCTTTCTCACTCTTAGTGGAGCTTTTTGTGGAGTTTTTCCCACCATTCTCTGTGCTGGGCCTGTGCTAGGATGTACACTGTTGTAGGCAAATATTAAATTTGTCACGCCTTATCCCACACCTATTTTCAGCCTCAGCCTTCCATCGGATGCAATGGTTTCTCTTTAAATTAGGTATTACATACACAGTCATTGAAATGTATTCATTTTGAAAGCAGATCTTTAGATTCTTAAGAATTTCTTGATAACTTATATATTTTCAGGTGTTATGCATTATGCAAATAGTTTGGAGCACTATGGGGCTATAAGAGATAAAAGTGGAGTTTGGTTAAAGTACAAGAGTATGAAAAGCAAAAAATGTTGCCATCTGTCACTTTGCCACTTTGCATGCTAATTTAATTGTAATACCCATATGTGGGAGAATAAAGGAGATTGACTTTTTATTTTGAAATCTGGTTGCTGTATATTGTGTGTATTCATTTGTATGGTGGGATTACCACATTCCATACAGCAAAGGATTGGGGTCACCACAGTGTTTGTACTTCAGTGTTTGTGGATAATTGATTACATTTGGAGATTGTTATATAATTGCAGCTTGACTATTTTAGCATGACTTTTGCAATTTGGTTTTCAGTTCACTATAATTTGCAGTTTAGTGAATAAACTCTTAAGTAAAAATTGGATGCCAAGAAGGTTTGTAAGGCACCTACCGCAGATTGACACCGAGTTGCAATTGGACGCACAGACAGGGAAAGGTGACACGCACGCGGCTCCAAGCAGTCACTCCATCACTCACCGGCCAAACTGAGGGACCCGTGGCTCACAGACCCCATTTTACATCAGCCTATCCATATACACTCGGAAGAAATTGTGAGTGCAATTTTAATACCACTAATTCTGATTAAAAGCCTTTTTATATACAGAAAACACTATGGATTCTGATTTTGTTTTATTGTAGATCGAAGGCATCATTCATTACTTAGGATCCTACTTTATGATCTTTAATTATTTTTCCGTCATAAGCAGTGTACATTATTACAACTTACAGCATTTAAGGAAGAATATATTTGTCTTTTTGTACTATATTCAAAAAAACTTGTTTAGCAGATAAACCCCAGTCAAACTCTGTAACTGAGGCTAACTGCTACAAGCTAACATTGTGAAAACTATTTATAATAACAGTTTCAAACAGCATTATTGTTGCAAAGACTGTGGACTTTTCGTTCATTTTTTTCAGTGACTTTTTCAACACATATTATTATTCATTTGTATTTGATCACATATGTTGCTATATTTGTAGACTTTCACATAGTGACTTTATGCCAATATTGACTTTTTGATCCATTTTATTATCATTAATTTTATAAGTACTAATTTTAAGCCAATCTACTTACTTAATGTTTTAAAAGATACATATCTTTTCTTTGTTTCCTTTTCTTTCTCAACCAATTTCTGATTTACAGAGCTTATAAAAATTTACACAGTTGTGTTTATCTCACATATTAATCTACTATACATATTTGCATAAGAAAAAAAAAGAAGGGGAGGAAATAAACGGAAATAAACGGAAGAAAAAAAATAATAAATAAATAAATAAACAAAAAAGACATTGTAAATATTAATTTAAAAAAAACTGAGTAAAGATAAAAGCAGAAGGAGTGTAATATAGAAGGAAGCTGATGGCTCCCAAAAAAACAGTTCAAGAACCTAAACCTGCATCAAATCGAGATAAAGGAGATAAAGGAGAAGTATATCAAGAAAAAAACTTAGACGTATTTTTTTCTCCCCAATCTAAAGACTCAAAAGGGATTAAACCACGATTATCTCTAACAAATCAAAAGCCATGCACTATGGATACAAATAGAGATAATAAAGAAAAGGAAGAAATTACTACTAAAGTTTTGAACGAAAGTCTACAATCTATTTTAGAAGAAATAAAGAAAGAAATTTCAAACAATTCGACAGAAATGCGATATGAAATAAAAAGTGAAATCTCTAAACTAACTGAAAAATTTCAAGCTATGGAAGATCGACTGAGGAATGCCGACTTTCAAATAGTAACATTGAACGAAGAAGTAAATACATTGACATCAAAAATTCACAATCTTGAAAACAAAATAGAAGATCTTGAAGATAGATCTCGTAGAAAAAACCTTAGGTTTCGTAATTTCAATGATTCCAATAAGCAAGAAAATTTGCAACATACGCTATACGACTACTTTAAAGTCCTAGGTTTAAAACTGGATGGCTCTAATGAGAAAATCGATAGATGTCACAGACTCCACAAACCATCCAATATAGCATCTGATATCCCAAGAGATATAATTACCTGCTTTCATTCGTTTGAATTTAAAGAGCAAGTATTAAAAGCTAACAGAGAGAAACTTATAAAAGATGGTCCGTATGCAAATATCATAGCACTTCCAGACCTATCCTATAATACTAGATATAAGAGAAGAATGTTTTCACCTGAAATTAATATTTTAAAGCAACATAACATCAGATTCAGATGGAGCTACCCCACAAAGATGATTATCCAAATGGACGGAAAAATAGAGACTTTTGATCAACCAGATAAGCTAAAGACATGGCTACAGAATAAATCACTAAATTAATCTCTAATAGAGACTTTTAAGGTTTAGGAGGAGTTAGGTAGACTAAGAGGCTGAAGAGAATCAAATTTATAAATGTACATATTGATGTTTATTGTAAAATAACGTCCTTTTGAATACTTTTCACAAGATGATTATTATGAAATAGGCACGTCTCATGGCATAAATAGGAAAATTAAGTATGGTTGGGGGTATTGTTAACATAAAACTAACAAGACTTATAAGGCAATAATTTCACATGCACAGTTTTTCAAACAATATATTTGTTTACCTATTTATGTTCACTTATACATATACTCAAAGGAAACACAAGCAATGTAAGGATTAGCAAAGTAGGATAGAAATGAAGGGGGAAGGGGGAGGGAGAAAAAAGAAAAAAAAAAGGGGGAAAAGAGATGAAAAGAGAAAAGAAGCCTAAATAGGCACACAAGGGGATAAACGATATACAATAGTTTTTTTTTTGTTTGTTTTTTTGTTTTTGTTTTCTAGACACGCTTTTTGGTATAACAAATGTTGAAAATGGTTGCAGATGTTCACTAACTTAAAGCTACCATGAAGTAAAGATGATAATTACACGTTATATTTATTTATAATTCACAAAGTGTTCAAGAAGAGATGACACTGAGAGGAGATGAGAAAGAAAGAGGAAAGATGGAAAATTATTATTTATTTTTTATTTTTTTTCCCGTCTCTCTCTCTTCCTTCTCTCCTTTCTCTGCCTCTTACCTTTATATTGAATAATACCGATATTCCAAAAATCAACAATCAAGAGTTAGCCCAAAACAATTATGAGTTTACGATAAATGAGGTAGAAAGAGAGATCGATAGACTTGAATTAAATAAGACTCCCGGACCGGATGGATTTAGCAATTTCTTTTATAAAGTAATGAAAAAAGAAATAATTGCCCCTTTAACGGCTTTTTTTAATGAAATGGCCAAAAAAGCTAAAACGCCAAAGGAGTTGCTACAAGCCAATATCCTGCCAATATTAAAACCAAATAAAGATGCAACAGACGTTAAGAACTATAGACCAATTTCTTTAATTAACACAGATATGAAAATATATGCAGCAATATTAACAGGTAGATTAAAATCATTTGTTGAGAGAGTAGTTCATTCTGATCAGGTTGGTTTTCTGCCAGGTAGATCTTCTGATACCTGTACCAGAAGAATAGTGAACATTTTGGATGGTGCACTCCGTCGGGGGATTCCACTACTGACCCTGTCGTTGGATGCTGAAAAGGCCTTTGACAGGGTCAGTTGGGGCTTCCTTGACGGGGTGCTGACTTCCTTTGGATTTACAGGTTGGATTCACGACGCCATTTTGGCACTTTATTCCAAACCAATAGCTAGAACTATAGGAGTAAATATTCAATCAAGCTGGTTTAGTTTACATAATGGTACACGCCAGGGATGTCCCCTATCCCCTCTTCTTTGTGTTTTAACTTTAGAACCCCTAGCAATTAATATTAGGAGGAATTTAAATATCAGAGGTTTTCTCACTAAAAATTCAGAGGCAAAAATATCACTTTATGCAGATGATATATTGTTAACACTTACTTCTCCAGAATCTTCTCTCCCCCAAGTTTTATCTGTTATAAAAAGCTACTCTAAGGTATCTAATTATAAACTTAATATATCTAAATCAATTGCTGTAACTACTAATGTTGATACCCACAGTTTAAAAGATCTGCGAGATAATTATGATTTCGTATGGTCTAACAATGTTTTTAACTATCTGGGCGTGATAATTTCATCCCAAGTTAACGATATTATGGAAACCAATGTATTGAATCTCCTAAAATATACAAATATAAAATTAAAAGAATGGTGCTTGACTGAATCCTCTTGGATCGGCAGGATCAACATAATTAACGCTTACATTATGCCCAAATGGTTGTATCTATTTAGGATGATTCCTCTACAAATTCCAGATATCTGGTTAACCATGATACAATCTAGTTTTCAAAAATTTATTTGGAAAACGACAAGACCTAGAATAAGTTCAAAAGTTCTCTCCAGGAAACCCCAAAATGGAGGGTTAAACTACCCAAATATCAGAAATTGTTATTACGCCAACATTATTGGTCACATATATAAACTCCAGGTTGAATCGTTTAAAACAGACACATGGTACCTAATTGAATCCAAGGCAGTTGGAAAAGATAGATTGGAAATGTATTTATGGCTTAAAGACAACAAAAAAAGATAGAATTTCTATGCAGTAAATCATTAATCTTGTCACAAATTATCAGTGCTTGGGAGATGATAAAAAAACACCAAAAAATCTCAGATAAAATAATTAAGTCATCCCATCTGATCGTTTTAGAAGATAATATTGAGGATATTTCTTTAAATAATTGGTCTAAATTTCAATGGACGATTGGGGATATCCTTCATGATGACCAAATATTACCTTTTGCTGATATTCAAGCCAAACTCCTTCTTCCTAACAAAGAACTTTTCTCCTATTTAAGAATTAAGAATTTTTTGAATAAGTTCTTATTAAATACTTCACCAAAAATTGATATTCTTATTCAAACCATCTTTAGATATACTAAGGTTAATAAAATTCTTTCAAAAGCTACTAACTTGCTATCCACCCTTGATCAACAACCCTTAAAGATACTTGATAAATGGAAACATATCCTAAATATGGACATAACTGAGCAGGAATGGTGTACGTCTCTTAAAGATACTCGTAAATATATTCATTGTCAGAATTTAGTTGAATGTCAATATAAGGTTATGTATAAATGGTATCTGACTCCATATAAATTAAGCAAGATGTATCCAGGTCAAATTCCTCACTGCTGGCGTTGCGGTTACCCAGAGGGAACACTTACTCATATATGGTGGCATTGTAGTTTAGTTAAAAATCTTTGGGAGTGGTCTTTTGAAATACTTAAAGGCCCGGATACAGCACTGTTACATTTAAATTGGAAACTTTCTTCCGCCTCTTCAAAGTGCCTCGTAAACCACTGCTTTCTGGCGGTAAAAATAATAATAGCAAGACAATGGAAGTCGCATTTCCCTTTTTTGAGGAGTCAGCTTGTTAATCAAGTTTTATTCCAACTTCAAATGAAAAAAGATTTACCAGCCTCCTCTGTACTTCTTATAAATAAACAAGACCAATACATTAACTGGATTCGAATTTTGGAAAACAAATTAATTATTTCTTTGTATTTTTTTTCTTTACTTAGATCTCGATAGATTTTGATAGATAATCTCACTACGGTGATATTTCTCTTTTTATGATGTTTAGACTGACCTTAGCCCATATTTATTTATTTTTATTTTGACAACAGTTCTATAAGATAAAATTGATCTTTTTATTAAGATATCCTTAGCAGTTTAGCTCAGGAATTACCTTATACTTAAGACTAGAACAGTTGTAACATTGTAAATTATATGTTTGTTATTGTCATATGTGTCTTTGTTTTGTATGTAAATTTCACTATTTTGTCATATGTATGATATAATGAAAAAAAAAAATTTCTAATAAAAAGAATAAGAAAAAATAAATAAATAAAAGATACATATCCTATATCACTCCTAGACACTTATTAGAGTATATATAATATTCTATCTTCATTAGCACTTTAGGGTTTTTTTGGTGGTAACCCCATTATTTCCAGTTTGAGTGGTATCTCTAGCCATACTATCTACTCCATATCTGTGAGATTTTTAATCCCACCAATACTTTTACATTTTCTTTCTTCCACCTATTGGAGAAAATAGTATGGCACTAAATAGAGACTTGGAATACATGAGAGCCAATAGAAGAAATGCATTCGATATGATGATAAATGAAAGAATAAAAGAACATAACACCAAAGTGCAAGATATAAAAGTAGTTCATAAAACCCTAGATACCAGGTCCCTAATCTATAAATTAGGAAAAGTGATGGAAAAAGAAGTGCACTTATGGTGGGACACTTTTTCACTGATCATTTATCTAGCAACAGCTTGCAAAACATGCAGTTCTCTTGTATCAAGCCATTGCAAGCCCTCCCCTTCTTCCCCAGCCCAGACTTTCATTAAGTGTCCAATCACAGACTACCCAATGTAGCTCAATGAGAAGTCTTTGCAAGGCAGGTGCTCTGAGCAATTGCTGCCTCCACTGAGCTAACCAAACCAGGAATTAACAGGACCTGTTGTCTACTTGATGGTCAATGGGGATGCAACTAGGTTAATTTATTAAAGTGGCATTTTCTACAGAAATCTGCACTCTTTGTAAAATGAAAAATGGTACACATTCTTCATACATAAAGTGTTTCAGCAAACAAAAGTGCTCCAGGGGTCATGCTCCATATAGCCATTGCTATTTATGTGTCTGTAAGGTTTTTCTAAAAAGGTTATAGTGGTATAGAGGACTTTTGTTGATGTCACTGTTATTATTATTATTGTTATTATTGTTACAGTGTTTATGTGTCCTTTAATTGCTTATAAAGGAACTGCCACTTCTAGAGGAGTGACAGTTTCTTGTTTCTTCACCCCAGTAATCACTACGTCAGCATTTACTGGGGTGAATAGAGCAGCGGAGATAAGTTTAAAAAAATAGGTTTTAACCAATATCAATTGGTTGTTCTATAAGTGAGAAGGTGACCCCTTTAATTGATTAATGAGGAGTAGTTATTAAAGTTTGTTTGTTTTTGTTGCTTATAAATATCTTTATGTCACGGCGTGGGTTCATGGTGTTAGCTCTGTTCATGCATAAAACTTTACAAAATGTTCAGGGTGTTGCTTAATTAGCTGAAAAGTTTTTTTGTAGTTTACTAATTAGCTAAAAAGTGTTTTCAGAAGTTTAACAAAATCATTTTTGATGTAGAAGTTGATAAGTGCATAATGGTTCTGTAAATATGACAACAACTCTGCTGGGTCAGGCAGATGAATTTCTTTTGCATTTGGAGGATCATCTTGATCCCTGCTCAAGTTTCACGGCTGATTGCCTTCTTGGTGGCCTTGGCTTGTTGCTGCTGTCCTAGTTATCTGTCATACTAAACAATCTGCTGTTACTCCAATATCCCTGGATCCTTGCAATTAAACTTTTAAAGCAAGAATGTATGGAGAATTACATTTCACCTTTCTCTGCTCTACTGTGAGGAAATAGCAATAACAAAGTTTGAAACAGAGTGGAATAACTAGAAGGATAATGAAAAAAAAAAAAAGAGGTCAAGGAAATGCTAATTCTTAAAAGGTTTTAATGGAAAAATAAATTGAATAAACGTTCCACTAGGTAATGAAATCAGCTATTATTTGCAGGTAACATAAGATGTTTTTATATAAACACATTTTCTTGAGCACTTACAATTCAGAAACACTGCAGCATCCTTTGGGTAAAATATATGTGCAAATTAAGGCTTATGAAGTGAATAATGATGAAGCTGAACTATCTAATCAAATATATTTATATATATATATGAGAATTATTTAAAAACAAGCTTTGTTGAGGAGGAGCACCTCCGCCTTGAATAGGTAATAGGAAGAGGGAGGAAGGAGGGAGTGTATGGGAGGGAGATCTTGACACATTGTTTCCAAAGCAGGATAAATAGTAGGTACATATTAATGTTTTTAGATATCACAGATGAGTCGGGAGGGAGTGACTGGGGCTGCCTCAGAAGGATCCAGAGAAGATCCAAATACACTATAGATGTACCTAGTACTATCATCAAACACCCCAAATTATTCCATAGGCTTATCCTACGCATTGCAAGAACATTCTTGCGCCT